TCATACTTTTTTAAGGATACCAAAATTATAAAAAAAACAAGTCCAAAGTTTCTAAATCCTCAAATCCAATAATTAAAATACAATGGTGGCAATCCTTAGATTATTTCGATTACGAACATTGGACCATCGATCGTCTAGTTTGAGTGACCGATGACCCCTCTATGAACTGTTAGTTTTCAGTAAACAGTCACCAAATTACAACAAAAACAATAGAACTTATTCGTACACAAAATCAGCATTACTTTGCGGTACTAGTCTCACGAAACATTGTCGAAACTGTAAAACAATCGATTGGGAAAACGAAGACCGGTATTTGACCGGCAACTCATGTTAATGAGTATAGGCCTAGGCAGGCTAATTGATTTTTACGGGCGTTCACTAAACAGGGTAATTGAATACAAAAACAGCGTTATTAAAAATACCGGCATTGATTAGAATATTCATGCGCATAATAAAATTTTCAAATGAAAAACATTGATGTAGGACGCTGAAGAACTAATGCTTTCCAAAAGTAAAGAGGTGATTATATATAGGCGTGAAACTACGAACAACATGAAGTATCTTTAAGAAAATAAAAACATGGATTCAACTAACACTGCATGACAGCTGTTGTCCAAATATGTTTTTGGAATGGTGCTTAAGATATATTGAAGGCAGAATTAGCTCGACTAGCTAAGTTAAGGAATAACGCAGGGAATGAAATCGGGTGTAGCAGTCAGAGACAGTCGAGGCGTTTATTGTCTCTTCATCAGGAACTCTACAATAATTATTGAATAAACAAAGGTATGGACAACGTGTTCATACTTACGAAAGTTAGGTTAAAATGAAGTTTGCAAAGAAGTAACAAAGACGATCCTCATATTTGTATGTCAAGATTAAAATTGGTTGAAAACATATACCTAACATTAAATATTCTTTCCATATTGATTTCATAGATTATATGAAATTGAGTATTAGAAAATGAACTCAACAGGTTGTCGAACATGATTGACCAAACACATTAAGTTGACAGAAAGTGTTTGACAAATTTCTTGTTCGGATAAATAGCGAGAACATGATTATCGAAAAAAAAACTTTATTTTGTCATGTATTCCAAACTATGTATAAACAGCGCATGTATGATTCAAGCTTGTATTTGCAACTGATCACCTTGGAAGCCTCGTTTGCCTTCAACATCCGACGATTGCCTTCTCTGTCGATCCCATAGATGGCGTCTTCATGAAGGATGATTTCGCCGACCTCACTCTAAAGCCTAGCACTAATGTTGAGTCCTACGGAGGGTCGAAACAGTGCTCTATGGTATTGAATCAATATCTACCAATATTGGGAAAAATAATAATAGAAAAGACGACAACATAGTACAGCAGATTGAAATGATTACACTGTTTTAATCATAAAGACTGTATAAGCATTTTATCAAAGAAAGAAATTTCTGAAAAAGTTACAAANAGTAGGTACGGTTGAACCTCTGAGGCATACAGATGGGTTCTTTATCGGATACATTTCGTATCTTTGTGAATATGTAAATGTAAACTTCAATGAATACACAATCTTCAGGCTTGTTGACTACGGCCAATGGACGGGTTACCCTGTCATATCCGTGCGAGGTTATTTGGAATTCCGACTAGATTGTGAAGGATTTATGGCCGGATCTTCCGTTGAAATTATTTCGAAAAGGTTTTCCTCAAATGTATTAATGCATGCTCAAACTTGGTAACGTTTTTAGATCAATACAAAAGGCTCGATAAAAGAGAACACAACGGTTCAAAGCAATAAGGAAGAAGAATCTAGTGGAAAAACAAAAAGAGAGATCATGAAAAAAACTCAACTTTAGATTTCGGGTCAACAGAGTTCTTTCTGCACTCAGAAGAGTTTCATGAAATAAACAAGAACACACTTGAAGCTGATGATCAGTGAACGAGAGAGAACTTGAAATACTGAAAGGCTGGAGATAGGCGGGGGAACCTCTCAACATTTTTCCTATAGCACACAGGAGTCTCATTATTCTTCATTTGTGCAACGTATTTTCCAACGTGACTTCTGGTGGGATCTATGTGTTTTTCACCTGAGCTGTAAGACGTGTTGATACGTCATGTGTCTTTTTTAGCCAACAGAGCCATTGACATGTCAATTCCATCAAAGTACCGATACCGCAAAAAATTAACCTACTTTAAAGACAATTTTTGGTTGCAGCTGTGTACATTGAGAGATTTTTCGCTAAAAAAGTGTTACATATTTGAGTTATAATTTTACGTCCTCTTTTATGTAAAGGATGGAACAAAATCGCGCCTTTAAGATAACCGAGGGAAAGTTTAACTTTTAGTTTCTTCAATTTTGTAATTTTTTTAACTTCTCATTTTTGTAAATAAAATTTATAGATCCATTAAAAAAAAATGTAACACTTGAAGTTCTTGATAAATCCGTTCGATACCAGCGC